CAAATATCATCCAAAGAATATAAGGGATGCAGTGATGTGCTATCCCCCTGAATACTATCTCCAAACAATCGCTTCACTGCCTACTCTCCACTCGCAAGGTAAACAACAATCTCTTCGTACAGATCGAGATCACACCAGCGTTGCATGTGTGAACGTGTGGTGCATCGCAGAAGTAACTACTCACCGTGCCCTAAACACTTATTGGAGCATAAATAACGGTCTCACTGGAGACCTATCGACTCAATTCAACTTGTTCGTGGGTAGGAAACAGTCTTCCTGTTTTTAGGTTACAATCAGGACAAGTTAGCACAACAACACAACGCATAACACAGCGAAGAGCACAAGACAATGAAGAGGAGAATACAACACAACACAAGACCTTACACCACATATCGCTAAATGTGCCCTGAGTAAGCACCGTACCACACTGTAGGGTGGGAGGAAGGCGGATACGGCGTGTTCTTGATTCTCCTTTGTCTCCTCATTCACCAAATTCGCCTCGTTCTCCTTACGGCGTCTCTTCAAGTAATGACTTACATCTTCTTGACATCATCAGATATTAGAAAGGACATTTGCAAAGTGGAAGTGAGATAGGGATGGAGGTGGTTGGTACTGGGTTCAGTTTGTCCCTCACTTCCATTGCTGAGACGTTGTGTAGCACTAGAATTAGCAGCCTGCATGTATCTGTTTGGAAATAGTGGTGGTGGTTACTTTGACTAATCAATCTTGTGTTTAAGTAGATGGGGGTTCCCACTGTTGTCCTATTTTTAATGCAAAAATGAGCGAACAACTTCGATTACTTCTTACCATCAATAATCACTGTCACTGTCATTGTATGTGACTCGTTTTACAGCCGGACTGTCATGGAAAATGCTATCGACAAGCGGTTGGTGCAATTTCCACGCAAGATTCGTGCAATCGGGGAATCTTGGGTAGAAGCATACTACATTGCGAGAGGATTTCCCAAAACCGTGGAATGCCTACTAATCATTCAATTGCATATCCGGTTTTGGACTGGCTTAACGAAACTGGTGAACGAGTTGTTGGAATACCACGCTAGTTGATTCATTCATCCGTCTATCCCCTGCCCACCACCCACATTCATCTTTGTTTTTAGTAATTTGACCTTAGCAACAGTAAATTAATGTAGAAAAATCATGCAAGTTTGTTCACTCTACCCCGATGTGGGTGTCCGGAATGAGTGTTCGACAAATGCATTCTCCACCTAAAATGTAGAAACAGGACATCTATTACATTTTACCTCAAAGCTTTAAGCTTCCACCAGGTGGTGACTTTATTCTTGTCAATTCAACCACTTGTCAAACGTTTTGTCAATTATCTGTGTCCTTCGTGGTAAATATAAATTTCCTGTAGGCATATTGCTTCAAAATGACTACTCGAATTATCTTGGGTGCTTAAGCTTCTACTTAACCTAAATTTATTTCCCTAAATCTTTCTGCTCGTGTTGTTGACGTTTTGTTGGCTGAGCAGTCTCTTTGCAAAGCGATTTCGGGACCGGGATATAATTAGACAGGCCACAGGATCACAGTACCTAGAAAAGTCGAAATTAGGCAATGAGAAGAGACACAACAAAATGGGGTTTGGTTGAAGCTAAGTAGTTCTAACTATGCCTTCAGTTGTCAGTGGCACTGTCAGTGAGATAAAATCGCTACACTTGGCATCCCATAGTGATCTGCTGAGCAGCTTTTTCAGTGGCCTATGTGAAGAAATAAATTTGATAGCAAATAATCCGATTCTTTAAAGAGCACCTTTTTATTAGGAGGTTTCGACAAACAAATCTTGGTCATTGTAATTCGTATTCAGCTTCATACGCATGATCAAATTGGGATGATTTGAGGTGAATATGCTGCAGTGGTATGCAATACTGCTTATCAAAACTCGCAACTATTTGGCTGAGGAAAGAGTTCTTATATCTCTTCACTGATATTTAAGCTGTAAGACGATGCACAAAATGTACTTTACTTAATGGAAGTATTCTTGTTAAAAAGGGGCATTAAGGAACATTACTATTTGCAAAGCCCAAACTCAAAGCACGGAAAGATTCGCCTCCACAGCAGACGAAGCAAGTCTAACATTTCGCATGTAGTTCGATGCTTGATGCTCCTGTCTAGTTTCCTTTGATAGAATCGCACTGCATCATCTTGCAACTAACTTCCGTGCATGTGACGCAAGAGGTGACCCAAATTACTTCAAGCTGATGAATGTGGATTTGATGAATGCGGAGTGTCGTATCGATATTAGAGCAAGCTAATGAAGGGGATTTTAAGCCAAAAATCTAACACCTTGAGGTTTGAATTCAAACAGTAGACCTCATTCTGATGATGTGGTGTTCCCGAAAACGTCCGATTTAACTCTGAGGTAGCAACGTAGGCTTTGAAATTTGTCGTTGTCTGAAGGTGGCTGAAGGGGAAATTATTCAAAACTCAGCGCAACCGGCAGCATTCATAATGTGTCCCGACTTTTTCAATAATTTAATATACAAAGGGCGCTGGGGTCTAAGCAGGACTTCTGAGTTTCTGAATCAAGGAGGATGCTCTAGGGAATACAGACTGCATTCAATATTTTAATGTCTGCTAACACCGATGCCGCCTCGTTATGGAAAGCTTTGTCCCCACGATTGAACTATTTTGGGACAGCCTGATTGCCTACCTGCATTGGAAGGGAGCGAGCGCGTTCCTAATATTCTCCTGGGAATGCTTATCGCTGTGATGCTCATTACCCTCACTTGGCATCGGGTAGTCACTCAAACAATCGCATGAGCAGTGGGACAGACAAGTGGTGGAAGGGAAACGCAAGTAGCTAGCATCAACTTCTGCTGTTACCCTGGCTTCAGGAGACAGAACACTTCAAAAAAGGTAAATTCGGAGCAAGCTTGCATCGGGTTGGGGGAAAGGAACAAGGGCTATGTTTTGTAATTGAGAACAGTTAATAACAAGTTTCTTTACGATATTTCTACATATTTTCCCTTCTATTGTGAGGCGTTTTATGAACTACATGAGTTCTTGTCTTAAAGTCCATCGTTTTTTCATGCACTGGTCATGTAAGGGACTGCTTGGATTGTACAAAAGTGATATTTGCATTCGATTTTGATGAAGTGAGTTGAGAAAGAGATCTCATGATAGTTGGTTTGCAGAAAACAAGACTACCCCTCCCCCCAGCCTGCACCAATAGCGGATGCGTCTACTTAGCCGAACCGATCCCAATGTGAAGTAAACCCAGTCCATGGTTTGACCTAGGTGTCCCACCGGACTCATTCGATATTTAGCTGCAGTCATCTTGTTATTGTCCTGCTATGTGTTATGAAATGAGATCAGTTCTGTGACACACTAAATGTGCCAACGCTGCTGACGACTGACATTAAAGTATCGTCTTACACTTTGTTTTATTTATCACCAGTAGCCATCACCAAATCCGGTAAATTCCAAAACAAATGCTAAATGGTGAGTCGTATGGCACCTTTGTTAGGGAAAGACTGAATTCCCACAGACCAAATTCGTTTTACCCTCACTGCGCTTGACCTTAAATAGGCAAACAATATTCCGCCTTCCACTAGATTGAAATGCACTGAATGGAAACAATGTTAGTCAAGCGGGTAGAGCAAGTCTTCAATAGTGAATGTATCAGGTATTGCTAGATAAAAGGAATGTTGGAAAGTAGACGCCTTTAGCGACTTCTTACGTGAAAATGATAAAAACAGCTTAACATTGCAAAGGATATCGGGATGAAGGCTAAAGAATATGATGCAAGTAAATATGAAAGCAAACACACTTCTCCATTTATCATTACAGCTGAAGCACTGCCTTTACAATGTCGTCTTGGCGCCATCGCCTTCTCCTCCTGCCCATAGCACCCCAGCCAATCTGTACGTTAGTAATAAACCTCATTCCTCGCTAATATGACTTATAGCGACATCAAGTGTGACTCGATGACCAACATTTGTGGTAGAAGCGACCTAACCTGATCCAAATTGCCTACACTGCCGTTCTCTTTGACATCTTAACACACTTGTAGGCCGCGGAGAAAACTATCCTCTTCAGGTGGCTACATTTCGGAAGAATCACTCTCAAAGGCGATTTGTAACCTAAAATTTATGTTCTGCTAATGTACTGGTGTTGGAGGAGGACCAGCGATCAACTGATGGAAATTGATTATAGGAATGAGTTTTATATCCCCTTGAAACACAGCCATTTCATCGTATCTCGCGAAGACAAGGTCTCTCCTCTCAATGTCTGGCTGAAGTGAATGTGCTTTAACTATAATGGAAACTAATTCACGGTTAATTTAATTTCTCCAATGACAGGCAATCCCACAATACGTCAGCAGGATCGATGGATATCAGAGGATCATTCTTTCTTCCTTCTTCGGAAACCGTCGAGGTATATATGCCTTTAGTTGGACTTGGATTCATGCGAATCAAATCAATTCCAATCGGATTTACTGTGCCCCTCCCTTTCTCCTTCTTTCTTTTACAAACCCTTTGCAGTTAGAAACGACTCATCCACACAGTTCTCTATGCAAATTACACAAGGGGTAGGTCTTTGAAATGCTACCTCTGGGATGCTAGGATTAGAAGAAGTCCAACTAAGAGCTAAAAAAGTAGAGAAAAGGCGCAACGGACAAAGTGATCGCACAAAGTAATTGCAAAGTGAAACGCAACCTGTGACTCTTCATTACACTTTTTTATTCTGCTTCCTTCATTTTGAGGCATTGTCGCGGTTCTGTTGCACAGCATTTCCTTTTGACCCGAAATAACAGAAATAATAAACGTCAAATTAGACCTAAACCCAGGTCTACCTATAAAAGTAAATCAACTGCTTTGTTTGGTTTTGCCTATAAAATGAACAAATGTGGAAGGCCTCATAAATTAAAATGTGGGACTGAATCACCAAAGTAGACAACATTACAGCCTGCAATCCATCAGCCATTCCAAACACATATAAATGCGCTGCAAATTCCAATGCTATACAATTTTGCGCAACTAGGAGCCAAAACATAAATAAATCTTGGCCCAACCACCCTACACCTACCTTACTTCTACTTTACAGCTGTCTTTTCACTATTGCTTCAAATGTCGTTACTTGGAAGACGTCATCAGCAGAATGCGGGAATGGGGAATATGGGGAGAAAAAGGATGTGAATGACTCAGTATCCTCCGCCTTTCTGTCCTCAGGTAGGGTTCTGGCTTTTCTCTGGACAAACTTTGTAATATACGATGTGAGTTCGTGCATTGTGGTGTCCTGCTTAGGGTTTTGCGATGTGCTGTGTAATATAGCAAGAGTACGAGCAGAGGTAGGAGTAGAAGTGGGGATAAGCCCTTCTCTCCCCAATTGACTAGTCGTGACTGTCTTTTGAAAGTCGAAAAAAATTCTCCAGCTTAACTCCCAGTTGTACGTAGTAGAAGGACCTCAACCTCAATTGTTGTTTGAGCTTCAATAAGTGAAGTAGTCACAGTAAGTAGTTGCATCTGCGATTCACCGCATGCACGACACACACACACACACACACACACAAACTAGGCATCGTCTTGATTGATGAGAATGTGTGAATAGAGTGTTTTTTTTCCAAGAGACTTAGTATCAATATCACCTATTTGTAAAGAGAATTGTCTGCTACAGCAGGCCATCGGCGAAAGTGATGCCATGAAGCTGGTTTTGCAGCTGTGAAGCTGAGATAAACTTATTTCCAAAGGAAGGTGGGGCGGAGCATAGCACAGAGCAGCATACCGAGACACTGACGCGAGTACATCCATGCCTTATAGTACCTACTTCCAGGCAGTCCGACACATTTTACTGGTCTCCACTCATTGAACTAAGTCAATGCGAAAATTAGGAAAAGAGCTACGCAACCTTTTGGACAATTGTTGTCATTTTTTGTCATAAAAACATAGACCACCACAATACGTTGATTGTTTTTTACCTTTCAGCTTTGGCAATGGAACTCTTGGGGACCTACAATCGTACATCCGCCGGGTAGTCAGTAGGTCAATCTCATCTCTTTGTGGAATGCATATATTCTGTCTCTTTCGTCTTCAAGGAAGTCTCGGGGTGCTACAACCGCACCTTTGAACAAAACCTGTCCTCAGCTCTCACTTAAAGTGTCCGCTTTATAACTGAGCAAAAAATGAAACAATTGTTCCCTTGGCAATGTAATTAGTTTTCAAAAAACTCGGGTGCCTTCATGAAAATTTATCGTTGATGGCAATTGTTCCCTAATTTCGTCATCAAAATTAAAACGACTAGGCGGGAAGCCAAATGAGTTTTCTGTAGTGAATTTATTTATGTGGATTTATGTTGACAAAATTTCCGATTTAAATGCTCAATTTTACCTACAATCAGCTAGTCACATCTCCTTAATTGAAACACGTTACACTTCCGAGAAGGACTTCACAGCAGGGCAATGGGCGGATCCAAGGAACTATACAATCAACTACCTCCTACTAAATGTAATTATTGTTTGCAAAATTTGTAACACATTGGTGGCTTAAGTGTACGCTTTTCTGCTAATTAGCAAACTGGGTTGGGAGGACAGCCTGAAACAATTTTTAATAAGAACTGGCTGCAACTTACAAGGATTTGATAGTGATATAATGCCATACCGTTTATTAGCTAGAATATGGGGCTTGAGGTTTTCCTGAGGCTGTAAGAAGTCATGTTGGTGTGGTGGAAGATATATCATTGCAGTGCAGAATGCCTGAGATTGCTGTCATGGCTCGAAGGTCGTGCCACTGAGCAAAAGCACAATGTGCGGAAAATTAAGTGACCGTGTAGCCTAGCGCAAAGTTAAAAAACTGTCAAAGCATTGTGAGAATGTACTACTATTTATGAAGTTGACTAACCCAACTCATGTGAGAAATGATAGGCAATGCCCAGTTTACCTGCCGGTAAACCATGAACGGTTCTGTTAAGGAAAGAAGGTTCGTCATCGCCACTCAGGAGTAAATGTGAACAAAAGCAGGTCCAACAAAATTACTTTAAGCGGCTTGCCAAATATTGTCACTTTTATAGACCACTGTTGACAAATTGTGATGAGGCAAGCAGAGGGAGTATAAACCATTCTATAGATTCGTGCTTCCATTATCGGTGTTTTGTGGAAAGTGCGAGGAAGAATTGCATGAATGGGTGCATTTTCCCATCAAAAAGGACATCTTAACACGTTGAATGCTGGAGTTTTAGAGCAAGTCGTCTAGCACAGAACAAATGCTTTGTCCATCTGATGAGACGCCAGTCTTTATCCACTCATAACCAAGGGGGTTATTTCCAAAAGATTTGAAAGCTAGAATTCTCCTACGACCAAATGCATCTCACGTTTATTTTATTGTTTTAGGCTTATCAAATCTGACTGTAATATGATTTGTTACAACAGTTACCATAAACACATGAATAGCAACGTCACGCATTTGTGACGTGTGAATTTGGCCAATAAAACCAGATTAGTATTGGTACTAAAGGTGTTTATGTCTTTTCTACAACTATGTCGAAAAATTTGGCATCGTAATGACTGGTTTTGGACTGTATTTAGAACATGGATGCAACAGTAATCTCCAAAATTCAGGTTATTATAGTTGAGCTGACCCAACAGTTAACGACCAACCTGGCCTTTATCACTCACCAAAAGTACATGTTTAGTGGTAATGCATTACTTTATTCAGACGCAGTCACCATTTTACCATCACAATGATCCAGAATAAGTAAAATCCAGCAAAGTCTTATTTGCCTTAAAGGCAACACGGCAG